CGCGATGATCATGCCCGTTGGGATCCCCAGTGGTTTCCCAACCATTCATCGTCATACCCAGGGAGAGGATCCTTCTGCTTGTTGCTTGTAACAAGCTTGTTCAAGACACACAGCGATTCCACTCTTTTCAATACTATGTCGACTCCACTCATATTGATAGGTATACAGGCATCTTCCGGGCACCCTTAACTGTGGCCTATGACGTGCAACCAACACATATTGCTTTTATTGATAGAGTAATCTCCTAGTTTAATTTATTTATCTGCTCCGAGGAAGCTACATGTATATACATATATGTATATATAGGAGAAGATACATGAGAAAATGAGTGTTGTATAGGGAACAATTACCAAGATAGGTATAGGAGTGTTTTTTTTTTCGCTAGCCCCCCCGGTCTTGCTAATACATCCAAGGCTTTGAACCCGATCAGCATCCAACATGCTCCCCAATTGAATTCGTTCCTGGCGCCCCAACGGAGTTAGTACCTTCCGGGCAACTCCCAAACTCGCTTCTATTGCCGTTACAAGCTGGTTTGTTCCAGAATTGGATGTTCGCCTCGCTAAGGTCGGAAACGATCAGACACACAGTGCTGATAGCGACAATATACGCCGAGCTGGATGTCAGACTATTGTCGAACACTGTATAACAGTCCGTGCACTGTGCCGTGTAACAGGCTTGTACCTTAGCGTAAGCCCGTTTGTGCAAGGGCAGAGCGGCGTCGCGCGCTTTGATGACGTTGGCCATTTCATGTCAAGGCTGGTAGGCGTAGTCTGCATCGCGAATGAAGACTTTGACGTTGTCGAGGTGGGAAAGCTCAGGGTGTGGGGCGGCGGTGATGGTTGGGACCGATGCCATGAGAGCCAACAGGCTGACGAGGAGTGAGGAGTTGCGTGTAGACATGTTGTGTTGTTAGATTGCTTGAGGCTACAGATCGTCGACGATTTACTGATGAATGGTCGAGAATGGCCGATAGAGAAAGATTGAAGCTGATTGAGGTGAGTCGAGATAGAGGGGCGATATGCTCTTGTCTTTATAGACTTGTAATATTCAGCTTGGTCGTAAAAGACTGAGTTGATGGCAGCTGGAAATACTGTGCTACAGGAAATGCTAAGGAAAATGACTATGTTTTGATGTAGCGGAAACCGAATTGTGTGTAGAGCTATACGTTATCAAGGTCGAAGTACCCTGGGATTGTTGCGGCACAGAGGGATTTGCGTCACGCAGGGATGTGCGTTACTTATTATGGAAAAGTAGCAATCTACGTTACGCAAGTACATAGATACCAACAACCAAAAATGGTGGAAAACGCAGGGGCGAATGGAATACATGTATTAGTGATGCCAACGGGCTTGGCGCTCTGACCTCATCCAAAACTTCGAGTGCGGCGAACGTCGGAGGTGATGCCATCACCGAACTTTCTGTCAACATCCACCAACGACACAAAATGTTTGCAAGACGCGCAATTCCCTCGGTACCTACCACGAATGAATTCCCGCCACGTTCAATGCCTCTAACAATCACCAGGCCTTCCGAGCCGCCACCCACGCAAGCGCACCTCGCTTTTCCCCAACCACACGCTTCCTCACGCCATTCCAAGTACGACTGCTCTCGGATGAAGTCCGCTCCGCAATCGACAGAGCCATTGCTTCATCTCCAGTAGTTTTGTTCATGAAGGGCACACCTGAGACACCCCAATGTGGTTTCTCAAGAGCTAGCATCCAGATTCTGGGCATGCAGGGCGTAGATCCGGACAAATTCACAGCTTTCAACGTACTAGAGGACCAGGAGCTGAGGCAAGGTAAGGGAGTCACATAATGCATGAACTGGAGTGGTCGTATATTTTCGGGTTGAGCTCTATTTGATTGATGTCGATTGGCATGGAATGCGCCACTGGAAATATCTTGCTGACAAATGGATCAGGAATCAAGGAATACTCAGAGTGGCCGACGATACCACAGCTATATGTCGACAAGGAGTTTATTGGAGGCTGTGATATTCTTATGACGATGCACCAGGATGGATCGCTTGCCAAGATGCTTGAGGAGAAGGGTGTGGTTGTTCCTGCCGAGGGACAAGGGCAGGCGCCCTAAAAAGCTTACTTATGAAAGCGGCAGGGAATACAGGACATGCGAGCTACTTATATAATACTGTTTTGTATTGATTGTGAGTGTCATCCAATAGCTTGCATCACTGTAACAAGAATGTGTACATATGACTTATGAAACATGTGCCTTCGGTTGGCCTTGTAAGCTAATGCTCTCCATGTGCCATTTCATGTTCACACGTACATGCGCTATTACTTGTCGTCAGGGCGCACCCTCCTCACCAAAGAAGACGACAATGCTATAGCGTTGCCCAGTATCAAATCGCACTCGAGCACACATCATGGGGTGAAGAAAAGATACGCAAAGCGCGCTTCAGCTACGCATCCACTGAGTGTAATTTTCAAAGGTAGAACTCAAGATCCCGATAGATTACATTGGTAACTAAAGACCAAATCACGTAGATGCCAGTAACGACTATCGCCGACACCTCTTCTAGAAGACCTCTCTCAAGATCAACAATATTCCCAAAAGGTCTACTCACCCACACTCCATGCGAGCACTCCTGCAGACCATCCTCTCAAGCGACAGCCCCAAAGAATGCCTCTCTGCCTTGTTCGTACCCGAACGCGGAACTTTCTCTTCTTTCTCCAGGAAAAGAAAAAGAGGAGTCTCGCTAAGAAAGCATGTTGCATTCATTGAAGACGCAGCGTCACAGGCTGCTACTACCGGGGACAAATACGGTGCCAGCTGCCCGACTACCTTTCCGCATTTCCAGTAGTACGAACCGTTGCGATTCGGCTTCGAGGTCACGGCTACATGTCCCCCCCGGCACGCTGAGTTTAGAGAGGATATACAGGACTTGGTGCCGCGAGATAAGCAGATTGATGGGTTTTTTCGAGGTGGAAAAAGGGGAGCAGTGTGCGTTTTGGCAAGGGAGGATGGCGCAGCTTGCGGGTGTGTGTTGCGAAGATGAGTGAGTTGGAGGGAAGGGATGGGTACAGTGCGAAAAATCGGTTACTTGTCTAGGTTCCGTACTAGCATGTCTACCGAAGGAGTGAGATGCATGTAAGATAGTCATTCTCAGTAAATGCAATGACACGTTTCCAATACCTCAATGCATCGCATGCCAGAAGATGCCTGGTTCGGGTAAAAACGGGGTAAAGTTTGTTTTATCTTTATTCTTCTTGTTCTTATCTATTGCAAACAATACGACCGACCACAGGACAGAGCGCGATATATGTTTCTACGACAAGAAAAAGAAAGGAACATACATCTTGCAACTAAACCCACTCTCTAGTGTGTATCGTAAAAAGCAAAACGTCTAATAATCTAGATGGGATATCTTGAATGTTCAAAAACTTGAACCCTCGGAATGAAACATCTTTCTGTCCTCCTCTAATTCGCCATCCTTTTAAAGAGAGTTTAATCGAAAGAGCTCTTGAAGACCCATCGCTGGTCTTCGGGCTGCTGGAAGGGCACTCCAAGCTCAAACAGGGTGGTGACTGCCTCGGCAAAGTCCTTGAAGAAAGCATCGCTGTCCTTGGCATACAGTTGGGTGTACTGCTTGAAGCTCTTGTCCTTAACAAGCTCCATGTCAGTGGGCAGCATCATGAGGCTCTTGGTCTTGACATCCTCAAACTGCTTGGGACCATTCCACTTCTTGTACGCCCACTTCTCCTCGAGGAGCAGCTTGAAGTAGTCGTTGGTCAAGGTAGTGGGAGAGAAGGTCCAGGGGCCGTCAAAGCCGGAGCGGTCGGTGTGGCAGCGGCCGAGGGCGTGGGCGCCAGAGAGGGCGACCATGGCACGGTCATCGAATCCCATGCGGCCAAAGATGGCGCGGATGTGGCTGCTATCCTTGGTGGCATCGGGCAGACGGCCATCAGGAGTGCAGAAGGCGACATCACGATCGGTACGGCCAGCACGGTAAGGAATCTTAGGACCCTGCATCTCCTGGATGGCGCAAACACCACCGAGAATCCACAGGTCCGAGTAGCTGATCCAAGGGAAAGCTTGCTTGACGGGCTCGAGGAAGTCGCGAGCAGCCTTGAGACCAGCATTGGCACCGTGGTCAGCTTCGGGGGCAAAGCGCATGGTTGCGCCGTTGGAGCCACCAGTTCCCGTCAACTTGTCATAGCTGTAGCATGTCAGTCTCTAGTTCAGTAGTATCAAGTACAATTGAGTATACTCACGTTCCCGAGCAGTGCCATGCCAAACGCAGCAGCACAGGGCCGTAGCTACCATCATCGTAGTTGTCGTTCTCCTCCAGTCTCTTGGCGATTGTATCGTAGACCTTCTGGTAGTCCTCGAACCTGGGAGTGAAGACCTTGGTGCTGGTCTGGCCAAAGAGCTCTGGCTTGTATGTGTATAGGGCATAGGCACCAGCGCCGACAAGCAGAGCACCAGCACCAAAAGCTAGACCGGTTGGGTTGCCCTCATGCTTATCAGGGCCGTCTTCCTGGGAGGCGTATCCGCGTCGTTGGTTGCGGAAGGCGTTTTGTGTGGGTGCAACGAAGCGGGCAGATGAGCGGGTGGCGGTGGTGCGGAATGAAGGAGCAGCAGTGCGCAGAGCGCGGGAGAAGCTTCGAGAGGCCGATGCCATTGTGTGGGTGTTTGTATATGTGTGTGTTGATAAGCTACAAACAACTTGTTTGTATGTAGAAAGCGCAATTGACGAAGGCAGAGGCCGAAATGAGAGGCAGAAAGCCAGTGAAAGTAAGATGATAAGAGACGTCAGCAAAGGGAGCGTGAAGGTTTTATGAAGACACGAGTATTTTTCTCGGTGTCCCGAGGGCGATAGACTTTCTTTCTGGAAGGCACGCCAAAAGACCCACCTCTGACAGCTGTGGGCCAATCACATGCGTGGCAGAGCATGGCTGTCTGGACCCTTGCGATTACGATATCTGAAGCAACGGCGATACAGGCCCGATAGCTTAATCTGTGCTTCTCGACTCGCCGAAGAGCGGCTTCTGGGTTGAAATCAGCTTACACACGTAGGCAGACCAGCGGCAGTCGAGCAGAGGAGGGCCAAGTGGTTTTGTAACTTGTTTGCACTAGGCACTGCCATGGTGCATATTCCGACCTCGTCCCGAGACAGATCGACGCAGGCCAGGCGCGCGGAACGAGGGGCAACGGCATGAGGCTCTGCGGCAGCCGCCTCGAGATGCCCTTGTTGTCTTCAACAGACAATCTGCAGTGTATGTAGTATACTGCCTCTGTCTCGCCGTTACTACACCAATGGTTTTTTGCTGTCGTCGTTGCTGCGTTAGTCACCGTTCCTGGGTACGGCTGCTGACTGGCCAATCACAGTGCCGTCATACTAAGCCATGGAGGCGTGACTCGTGCCGCATCCACATGCCGTCCCCATGCCGTCCCTCTCCAGCGCGGTACAAGCGGCAAATAGTGGATGCCCTGCTACAACAGGCAAATCTCTCCATCTAGACACAGGGCCCCACTGTCTTACGGTTACACATGTATCAAGGCGGCAAATCTGTCCGGTAACAAGCCAATTCCATTACATACTCCAACCCAAACACACGCACGTACATATTAGGGCTGACAAAAAAGAAACAATCAAACATGATAACTCCGGCTGGCCATGACCCTCCCGCTGATGATCCCAAATCTTGACCTAGCGCCTTGCAGGGAAATGCTCATGCCCATGCTCATGTAAGAAACATAAAATCACTCCCAGCTCCAATGCCGAAAATGCAATCATTAACCCAAGTATATCCCCCCTTTCGTGAGCCGCTCGTCTTAGCGTGAAACATGCAAAATGAAAAGCAATCAATGAAACATGTGGTGGTGGTGGTCTGGCGGGGGCAGACCCATAATGGTACCAAGGTAGAGATGCGCATGAGGGTAGCCGTTCATGCTGTTCGTGGGTGTTGAGATACCCGATGACGATGCTGTAGGCGGATGCGACTCTTCTAGACCTCTTCGGGCTGCGATTTCTGCTGCTTCCTTGACAATCTTGGGCTTGAGGAGATCCCATGAAGTGTTGTTGGGATCCTTGGGTATAGTCACAGCGCGTTTGTACGACGGACAGGCCTCGAGTTCCTTGATACCAATCGGTGGCGACAGTTGGGCGGCCTTTTCCTTGAAGTAGGCCTTGCGCCTAGATTTCTTTGAACTGTACTCGGCAGTCCTGGCAGTCCGCTGCATCTCTTCCCACTGCTCCATCTTCTTTGCAAAGGCTTGACGTTCTTCTATCCTCTGAGCTTTTGCAGCAAGCCATGCAGCAATCCACGCGGGAGCCTCGTTTGCGTCGGGAGCCCGTTCACGCACCTCGCGGTTGTACTCGGCAACGAGCTTGTCCACGTCTGATTTTAGATAAATCGTCTTGAGTGCATGTGTGCTTGCTGGGCCAACCCCGACAAAATTACCCCAAGAATCGTAGATTCCACTTGGAAGAGCAGCACGAATGAAGGAGATGTCTTCACCGTCTGGACCTTTGAGAAGAGCCATGGCTTCGTACTCCTTGATGACCTGGTTTGTTAGACAGTCCTTGCACATGCGGCGTAGAAAAGCCCAGAATGTTTTGCGAGTGTTCTAGACGACGGTCAGTCAAGTCAATAAATATGCCATGAGAAGTCTGTAGGCGGTGCGGGTGTTGTCACTTACGGGCGCACCGCAATCCATACAGCCATGGCCGTGGCGCAGATGGGCAAACTGGAACTCAGTCAGGCCTGGAGGAGGGTCAGGCATGTCGGTTCCGTAGTAGTAAACCCTGCTATGCTTCCAGAGCATGGGGTTGTCGCGCAGGAAGCGGTAACATGAAGCGATTTTGCTGCGCATCTCGAGCAACTGGGCGGGGTCCGAGTAGGAGAGTATGATGAACCAGCAGTCGAGGTCGACACCCTTGGACAGGACCTTGCCCCTCCGTAACCTGGTGGGCTTGCGTTGTTGCCACTGCTGGGTGAGGAGGGGGCGAGCGGTTGCGGTTGCGAGTGGAGCCATGGCATTGCTGGCATAGGAAGCGCTCGAGTGTGCTGCTTGGTCGTACTCTCTCTTGCCGTCCTCGCCCCGCTTGCGCTTCAGACTGCCTTCGACCTTTGCCAAGGGCACGTTGTGGGAGCGCACCTCTTGCGCAAAAGCGGCACGCTTGCCGGCGGGCGGGCGGCAATTGATTACTGTCGCATAGGCTTGGTCGGGCGTCTGCAGAAAGGGCGTCTGCTTGTTGACTGTAAAGGCGACATATTTGGCATTCACCATTTCGTGTCAGCAGGCCAGCCGCTCGGTGGGATGTGGGATCGAGGCGGGTGGCAGGCAGACAGTCTTCCGGGGGTAGGGTCGTCCTTTTTTCACGGCGTCGTGGCGGCAGTATGGAGGAGAGGAGGGTGGAGCGGTCAGCGGGCTGGGGAAGCAGGAAAGGAGCGTGGACGACGCTGAGACTTCGGCGTGCCCAGGCTCGAGTGAGGTCGGCTGCCGAACCAGTCTTGCCCGGTAGCAAGGTTGACCCTTCGCATACAAAACCTTGGCCTGCTCCTTACTAAGCTCGACCGTGCTATACATGAGCAGTGCGCGGCTGACATCACTCGAGTGGGCTCTTTGTCGGAAGCTGGCATCCACCGTCAGTGTGGACATGCAACATCCATACGTATACGAACATGTACGCACACATGTACGGACAGCCGCCACTCAATCTGGATGCCGCCTCGTGGGCTGACTGGAGGGGCATGCGACCAACACCAGCACCAGGACCAGCACAAGCACACCGCGATCAAGTGCGACCACCGCGGAACACTGGCCCTTGAGCATTCAGCCAATTTTGTCGCAATTAGGCCGACGACGACGACGCCTCGCCGGCGATCACATGGCGGCATCGACCATGACTTACTTTGACGCGAGGCGCGCGCCGCTCGACCCTTAGTTTTTTTTTCGAGCGCCGCCGTGGACGGGCCCGGCAAAAGTCGCCTGGGCTGGGCGTGGCGGTGGTGAAGGGGGAGGGGGGCTCTGACAAGGGCTCTCTTTGGGCGGACATGGGCTGGCAAGTGGATGCAACAAAGGTTACGCCATGCAGCGTCGCCTGTGCTATCCGCGACTTGGCGCTGGGGAAGGCACAAGCACAAGCAGCAGCGGCCGCGGCGATAAGATACGGCGACAGGCGCCCTGCCCCGAGAGGAGATGCGGGGTTAGCGGGCAGGGCGGATAGCTAGACGGAGCGACCTCGGCCTGCTCATCTGTCAACATAATTGCTTCTCCCACGCCGCCTCCCAAGTCCCATTGCAAGCGCCAACCCGGCTCCCGCTTCTACCACGGTACAGTCGCCTGCCATTCAGGCTCTGTCATATCAACCCGTCCGCTTGCCACACGGTCCGACATTGCCCAAACACCGCCATGTTTGGCAAGACTGAAAGTAAGTTCAGGGTTTCATGGCCACGGCGCCAAGTCGTCTCACTCCTCATCTACAAGGCTTGTCCCTCTGCAGATGAGTCGCCACCCTTTTTGATCGTTATTAGCCCGGCTCATGGCTCGTTTGGCTACTATGCATGTGCATCTGTTGGTGCTAGAGCCGCAGTCTGACCATTTGCAGAAGACTCGTCGTCCCCGGATCTGGACAAGCATGATGCCCTTCCTCGCTACGACAACAACCACGACGATGACTCTGAACATGTCACTTGTCCGCCCACCACCACCGACACCAAACTCATTGCCAAGATAGATCTCCATGTCATCCCATTTCTGTGCATCATGTACCTGCTGGCCTTTTTGGATCGAGTCAACATTGCCAACGCCAATGTCTTTGGCCTTAGCCAGGAACTTGACCTCAACAGAGACAACCGCTACAACACAGCCCTTGTCATCTTCTTCGTCCCGTACATCCTCTTCGAGATCCCGTCCAACATCCTGCTGAAAAAGATGAAGCCCCGCATCTGGCTGAGTATCTGCATGTTTGGCTTTGGACTTGTCACTATGCTGCAAGGTTTTGTTCAAAACTACGCGGGATTGCTGACTACCCGCTTTTTCCTCGGTGTTTTCGAGGCAGGAATGGTAAAGATAAATCTACAAAATCCATCTGGGACGTACACTGACTTTGAATCTACCAGTTCCCCGGCGCCTTCTATCTAATTGGAATGTGGTATAGAAGAAGTGAGGCTCAGAAGCGCTTCTCCTTCTTCTTCAGCTCTACTACCCTTGCTGGGGCCTTTGGAGGACTGCTCGCCAGTGCCATTGGCAAGATGGATCACATACGAGGTTATCGCGGATGGCGCTGGATATTTATTCTCGAGGGACTGTTAACCGTCGTGGTCTCGTTTGCATTCTTCTTTTTGCTACCTAATTTTCCCGAAGAAGTCAAGTGGTTAACGGAGCCTGAGCGCGCCTATGTCAAGCACCGCCTCCAAGTCGACCAAGGCCGCTCCGCCCGCGAGCGCCCCATCAAAGCGCGAGACGTCGCAAATGTCTTCAAGGACCCCAAGATTTTTATCGGTGGCTTGATGTATTTTGGCTTGATCGTACCCGCATATGGCTATGCATACTTTTCGCCCGCCATCATCCAAGGCTACGGCTACTCGCCCATCCAGACTCAGCTCCATAGTGTGCCTCCTTGGGCTGCTGCTTTTGGCTTTGCCATGCTTGTTGCGTATTTCTCCGATCGCCTCAGACATCGCTTCCTCTTTGCCATTTTCCCCATTTGCGTCTGCATCACCGGCTTCGCTATCCTCATTTCCGTGCACAACAACCACGACTTGCAGTATGCAGCTCTCTTCCTGGTCGCCATGGGAGCTTATACAGCCATGCCTGTTATTGTTTGTTGGTTCAATATGAATCTGGGTGGGCATCACAGGAGAGCTGTGGGCAGTGCGTGGCAGGTTGGTTTCGGTAAGTTTTGTCTTTTTCTTCTTCGTTTGATCCTTGTTTGTGCAAAACAAATCTGACATTACATACAGGCAACATCGGCGGAATCATTGCTACCTTTTCTTTTCTCAAAAAGGATGCACCAAAGTACACAAAAGGCTACTCTATCAGTATTGCTTTTGTAGTCTTAAGCGCGCTTAGCTGCACTGCGTACTTTGTTATGTGTAACTGGGCGAACCGGAGACGCAATAAGAGTGTGAGAGATGTGGGATTGACCGAATACGAAAAGACGGAAATGGGTGATTTGAACCCAGATTATCGATATCTACTTTAAATAGGGAGTCGAGCTGCTTGGATAAGGAATGAAAAAAGAACCAGGGTGAAAAACCTAAAAGGGAACAAAATTTGTAATCTAGCATGGAGGATATTTACATCTAGACTGACGGCCGATATGAAATGGAATCCCAGATAGGTATTCATAATGTATGTATCATTACCGAATTAATTCAAGTATCTTGACATATCATTTCACCTCTATTGGTTACACCAGTATATTATTTCATCACCAAGTCCGTAGGACAATTCCGTACCGACTACAGCTACGGAACTCCGACCCTGGCGTTTGGACAAACTCGGGGTTCTACAGTACCCGATATCCTGTGCTCCGCTCTATCTAATCCATGATTTGACGACTCACGGCGTTGAATGCGATAAATGGCCGTGCGGAGATGTTGCTTAATTCGTATTAGCAGACCGATTTATGTAAAAAAAAAGAGGAGTACCAAATATTCCCCCATATTTTCAGGTCACACTCTGCGCAGTGGTAATGCTATCCGAATCCACCCCCTCTTCACTTCCATGTCCCCAAATCTCCTTACTCTCACTCTCAACTCCTCTCATCGCCTTGGCCACCTCCTCCAACCTAACAACCACCTCTTGAACTCCCTTGTTCACCTTTTCAAAATACCGATCATTCTCCTCCCTCCTCTTCCGGCTAAGCTCGATATCCTTCTCTGTCTCCTCTTCTAGCTTAATCCGATCAAACAATTTATCCCCCTTGCCCGCACCAGCCCCACTCACCATACTCTGCGCCTGTACATTCGTAGCCTTTGTATCTTGCGACTTCTTCTTCTGCTGCTCGGGCGCCTGCTCGTCTTCTTCTGAGCGGGCCCACGCTCTCGCGAGCTCGATCTGGGCGCGGCGCAGCTCGTCGAGGGCGCGCGAGTGCTCGGAGCCGAAGACGGTCATGCCGGGGCCTTTGATGGCGCTGAGTTCGACTTCCTCGAGCGTGTTTTGCATCTCGGCCCATATTGCTTCGGCGCGCGACGAGGCTTCTGCGTCGGCTGCTTGGCTTTGTTGGCGCTGGCGCCGTTGGAAGGGCGCTGAGGCGTTTGTCGATACGGGGCTGAGGTAGTCGCCATCGCTAGTGGTGTTTGGGGGGAGAGGGCGCTTGGGGTCTGGCGAGAGCAGGGAGCGTTGGCGGACTAGAGGTGTTTTTGCTGGTGCTCGGGTCTCATGTAGTGATGTGTTGGAGGCATTGTGCGATGGTGGGCCAACGAAGAGAGCGGGCGCTGGCAGACGGTTTGTCTGTGTCTTGAAGATCTTCTTGTCATCCTTGGAAGACATGTTGGAGCATGCAGCGTGGATATTCACAGGAGCAAGATGTTGAAGACGAACGGTGATTGTAGCTTCACGCGACTAGGTATAGAAGCTAGAAAGGGCGCTGAGTGTCCGAATGTGAACACCAATTTCTCTTTTGTATTTTGTCGAAAGCTAGAAGCTAGTCAGACTCTAGAGCTATGCGCTTCGACAGAGAAGATGGCGTTCGGTGTTCCTGAAGTCCTCGGCTGAGCTCAATGACGATGGCCCGATAAGATAGCAAATACCCCTGCAGCCGCGCTAGCCACGACAGAAGCGACGCCAAGGCCCGTGCGCACACACGCTGGGTGAGATTTCTCCTTCCCGTTACTCTTCGACGTTCGCGATACTAACCATCCACTCACCAGCACATCACTCGTCAACACCGCAATCATGGGTAAAGGTATGCTTCCATCTCACCCAGGCCTCTCCAATCCGTCCAGATACCATTTTCCCCCTCCTCTCGCATTGCACGACACTATTGTGTACTTTGCAGCTGCTTACTCCATCCTCCAGGAAAGCCAAGAGGTCTCAACGCCGCCCGCAAGCTCCGCAACCATCGTCGTGAGGGACGATGGGCCGACCTCCACTACAAGAAGCGTCTCCTCGGAACCGCTTTCAAGTCTTCTCCCTTTGGTGGTTCTTCCCACGCCAAGGGTATCGTCCTTGAGAAGGTCGGTGTTGAGGCCAAGCAGCCCAACTCCGCTATCCGAAAGTGTGTCAGGGTTCAGTTGATCAAGAACGGAAAGAAGGTCACCGCTTTCGGTACGTTACACTATTCCAGGAATTGAGTGCAGCTACAGCAAAGCACCTGTGGCAAGCATGCATCCGGAAGACCCGGCTAACCCGGAAACAGTTCCCAACGATGGTTGCTTGAACTTCGTGGACGAGAACGACGAAGTTCTCCTTGCCGGTTTCGGTCGCAAGGGCAAGGCCAAGGGTGATATTCCCGGTGTGCGTTTCAAGGTCGTCAAGGTTTCTGGTGTCGGTCTCTCGGCACTCTGGAAGGAGAAGAAGGAGAAGCCCAGGTCATAGAGTACTGGCCAACAAGGAGTCAAGGAAGGAAATGAACGTGGACTACCAGCACGCCATGAACGAATGATGGAATCCGCGGATGGCCGTGGATGTTTACCGGAGTCTTTACATTGGGGATATCTGTGCTTCAACTCGGCATATGAAAGTCATGATATGCTGGAGGGTTAGATAGCAAATCTAACTCGTTCAAGCGCCCACTCGTTTGTGTGCCGCTACTGGAGTAATGCGTATTGCTTCACAATGCCTTGGTGGGGTAATGGGTGAATGGCTATTACCCGAGCGATTTATCCATGCATGTCGTGTGCAAACATGGAAGGTTAGCCGCGTACTGAATCAAGGCCCGATTCGCCATGCATACTTTACACATCTGATTCGTGGTCCTTGTAACTCCTAAACATGAGTATCACAACTTACATACAGATCCCGTCTGCGATTTTGATAACTCGGGCCAATGGAACATAAGGGAAAAAAGTGCCACTAGCTGCCGGGTATCTCAAACAAAACGCCAATCAATGCGTCCCGCCATCCCAAAGAGAGAGCAAAGAAAAAAAAGAAAAGAAAAAAGAAAAAACAAGAGGAAAATAGGTGTTCGCCAGTACCGAACCAAAAAAAAGTATCAATGATGCAAGCCAAGTCTCTCTCTTTCTCTGTGTATCTCTCTGTGTATCTCTCTTTCTCTCTACTTGGAGAACATGGCATTGAACGTATCCTCCAGTCCCGTATCTTTCATTGTACCATAGTAATCATACTTGAGTTTGGGGCTAGCAAACAGTTCTGCATCCCTCTTGACATTCTTGGGTACGCCCAGACCCTCTAGGCCTTGTGATTTGCTAGTCCCATCCGCGCCCCTTGTCTTCTTCTCTTCTTTGAAGAAGTTGGGCATGCTTTCTTTGAGTGGCGGTGCCCATACTCCGCGTTTCCATGGGTCGGGTTTTTGATTGGCGGCGAGCGAGGTGGGTGGTGCGGCGGGGACGCGGTGGCGGAAGGGATTTGGGTCTTTGCGGGCGAAGATGGAGTGCGGTTCTCTAGGTTTGGCCGAGGGCGAAGCTTGTTGCTGAGCAAAAGCTGGGCGCTTGGAGAATTGGTTGGATATGATTTCGGGGGGTTGAGCGGAGAAGCGACCTTTGGTTGGGGTCCAGTCCATGTCGTCGACGTCTAGGAAAGAGTTGCGTTGGGCAAAGGGAGTTGTGGCTTCTGTCGTAGCATGTGTGGTATAGGATGATTCAGTGAGGGTGGGTGATGGAGGGGCGGGAGAAGATTCTTGATAGCCTTGGATTCCAGATGCAAACGAATGTGCCATGCTATCGAAGAGGTCCGCTTGCGGGTGTGCAGGATGGTAGGAGCCCCTCCTTTCTTTCTTTGCGCTGCTGGGTTCGCTGAGGACGGGCTCTTGGGCTGCCTTGGGGAATGAGGGTGCGGCACCGTAGACTATGCGAACAGTCTTCCAGGTCAGGACGAAAGAGAGCGCGAGTACACTGGCCATAACTGTGTGAGTGTATCGGAAGCTCTGTAGTGTATCGCTGTCGACTGCGGTGTGCTGCCAGTAGTAGAGACTCGCAAAGCGGGATATGATGACGGCAGAGCGAATTGACCACAGTGACTTGAGTCCATGCATTCTGCCCGTGAGACTGTTCGTTTTGAGCTTCAACTTGGGGTTCCACCAGATGGTGAGCAGGTCGGCAAGGATAGCGTATTGCAACCATTTGACTATATACGGCGAAAGTACACAGATGTCGTCAACGGATCGCGAGCGAAACGCTTGGTGCAGACATGCGCTCCAAGCGAAGATCTGGTCTTCCCGAATAGTCTCATTGGGGACCATGAGTAACCCAGCGACATGCCAGAGCAGTCCCACCACTGTACTCAAGATGTAAGTCCACTCGGCTAGCGAAATAGCCCTGAGCGTCCATGCTTGTCGCGCCGTGTACACAACCGTGCGCTTTTCTTTGCTCGCTTCCATTATGCGCGCCAAATTGTCTGCTCTCGCTACATGGTTCGCATTTCGTATCTGGTTTTGGACCCGGGGCAAGCAGTTCTTACACACCTGTGGGTAGCGCTCCTCAAGCTCGATCTTGTAGTTATCGTAGGCTGCGAGGTATTGCTCATACTGTGGATCGTCTTCTTCCGGGATAAATTCGGCGAGCAGACTGGTGTATAACGTTTGGTTGTGTTGACACGCGTCGCAGAAGATGCTGTCGGGGGGAGCGGACATAAAGGGTGAGGGTGAGCGCGAGGGTATGTACTGAAGCACAGGCGCTGGGATAGCTGCAATCTCCTCTATTGGTGGATCCGTGATATTTCCGCGCTGGTAGAAAGTCAGTTGAGAAGAAGTCGCATATTTATGTTTTCAGCCATGTACCTCATCAAAGTGATTCACGGCGTCGCATTGCGGACAGCGGTATTTTTTGGGTATCTGGGAGACGCTTTCTCGCGACTGAACATTGCAGTAATGACAGCGCAGTCTGCGCCGTAGGAGCGGCATGTTGGCGACAAGGTCTGGAGGTTGATGGGATGGTTGATGTGGGTGGACGATGTCATCGGCCAGCTGGTTCAGGGTGGCAGAATGGCGACGCTGACACACCGCCCGGGACCGACGCGGAAATTTGGATCGCAGTATCGAAGGCACTGGTCACCACCAAGAGGGACGACTTCCCGCCAGCCCATCGCCGCAAGGACCAAGCCATTGAAGCGAGGCGCTTGCAGTGAACCCGAAAAAGTCGATTGACCCGGAAAATCCACTGCTAGCACCCGTCCACGCCCACTGCTCCATGGCTCGGTAGTCCGCAAACCCTCCCACATCCACATCCATCGCCGCTATTCTACCCACCATGAGCCAATTAGTCGTCCGGCCAGGACGCAATGCCGCCCGCCAGGCCAAGAAACTCAAGGAAATCCGCAAAACGAAGAACGCAATCCAATGGCACGAGCGAGAGCGAAAGAAGCGACAAGAACTCATGCAGGAGCGATGGGAGTCCAAGCAAGCCGTCCTGCAGCGCATCATGTGGGAGAATGCAAATGTCAAGGGCGTCAAGAAACGTGCTCTAGCCAATGCCAAAGAAGATTGGAGGTTGGGTCCTTTGAGGCCAAACCGTGCCATCGGCCCAAATGCAGACAAGTACGGTGCTCTCACATCGTCTCAGATGCAGAAACCAGAAATCTCCGCCAAGACACAAAAGAACCGCAATGCTGTAAGAGAGAGGAAGGGAATGGAACTTGAGTATCCTCTGGTTGTTGATGACAAGAAATACTTTCCTATTGTCAAAAATGACCGTGTCGTTATTCTCAAGGGTAAAGATGCTGGCAAGATTGGTACTGTGCAAGATATCATCCCCCGGACTCACGAAGTTATTGTAAAGGACTTGAACATGGTTCGTATTCTTCCCTTGGGCCACCAACTCAGTCTGATACCTCTTAGCAATATTACGACTCCACTGTCTTCAGTGCTGCCAATGAGGAAATGGGTCCGAAGCATCCAAACGAGGTGCCACTTCCTCTAGACCACGTTCGCCTTGTGATACCCTCTGAGATCAATCAAGGAGGTGTAAAGCGTTACAAGGACGTTATCGTAGAAAAGATCTTCATGGAGCGACACACAACCGGCATCGACCCCTACACCGGGACTAACTACGGCAACTCAGAAATCCCAAAGGAACACCAGTACGACCCTCGCAACGGCCTGCCCATCTTCCATCGCTACATTTCAGGTACAAACCACCGGATCGAATGGCCATGGGAACGCGAGGAATGGACTGAAGATGTCGACGTCACGAATGAACAAAGCACAGATAACCGCTCATGGCTGCGGAAGACCATGTCCACCATCGCTCAACCTTTCTCCGGCTTGGACCGCTGGCGAAGCAGCAACAAGCAGAGCAGAGAGCAGCAAGACCCGAGCGTCCTGAAGACAGACGATATTGAAGAAAACTTCACAAAGATCGAAAAGGAGCAACAAGACAGGTTCAAGACACAACCTCCAAGAAGCAAGGATCTCGAACTGCCAGAGGCATACGACGACGTAGACACAACGCGCAACATTGTTGAGAGATCAGAGTCCATGTCTTACATTCTCGTCTCCCCACCTTTCCCCGACACTCTCGGCGAAGAACTCCGCGGCGACATCCATGATCTCTCCATCAAGGCAAAGAAGGAACAGGATCCCCAGGCGCCGCGTGTCAAGATCACCAGGCACTCTGAACAGGCCGCACTCGCACGAGAGACTGCAAAGCAACAGAAGCAAGCTGCTGAAGCAATGAAGACGCCCATGCAATTGCGATGGGAGCTGGAGCAAAGGAAGAAAGCAGAGGCACTGAAGAAGCAGCCTCTTGTGGACCAGGAAACCCTGCTAGCCGCACTGGGCCAGCACATGCAGAAGAAAGCCGCAAAGCCATACCTAGGCAAGAAGCAGATTGCTTCTCAAAACCAGGACCTGGACTAAGCTTTTCTCCTTCAAGTGCACGGTTTGCAATTGTAGTCTCCAGGCAAAAGGAGAAGAGAAGATTTGTAACATAGAAAACTTCTGTACACATAGCCGCGAAAACTGAAAGCAGCAAATCTCAATCCAGGCCCTCTTTTGCATAGTACACATCGTTATCATAGTTTTTTTGAGGGGGGGTATCTTTCGCTGTGAAATGCACATCAAACGCCATCATCTCCCATGCATACCATCGTCGTTCCTGTAAATCTCCTGTCATATGCATACTTTCCTTGCATTCGTCATCACACCAGGACGCCCCAGTACTCTGCCCTCCCACCCGCACCTTCCAGCTCCTCCCACTGCACGAGGAACCGATCCACGACGTGAAGCAAGATCTTGCCGCTTAAACTGAGCGTCTTGACTCGTGCGAAACTCTCGATATACACGGTTTTGCACTTGCGCCTGCTTTCCGCGCCCTTGATGTTAAAGAAACGTACTATGAGGCTTGCGAGGATAACGATGACGGCTGTAGCTGGGCCGTTGGTGATGATCAGATCGGGGACATCGGCTGCGGCCGCTTCGTAGGGGGTTGTGGGTGCTTGGCCTGCGAGAAGCGGGGGTGCGCCGAGGAGCGGTGTGAAGCATGCGAATAGGGTGTATAGAGCGGAAAACGGGGTTGTAAGCAGTGACTGGTGGATCTTCCTTGCACGCGGTACGATGGCTATGTTGTAATGCTGGGGTCCTGTACATGCTGGGCTGTCATCTCCTCTTGTTGTATCCAGCACACGTGTCTGGCCATTTGTATCCGTGACTTGCATCGTTGGTCTTGTTGCTTTGCCGTCACTCTCGTCTGCGTCTTGGCCATTTACCATCTTCTCTTGCGCCTTCTCTCTCTTTGTCGCTGCATCTTGCAAATCCTGCTCAAACTGCGCGGCGCGTTGTGCGGAGAAGGCATCACCGCTGCTGACTACATATGTTCTGTGTGTGTACTTTTTTGTGTCGAGGTCGCGGAGTAGGCATAGCATCTCGTGGGTGTGGCCCCCCGATCCGAGCACGATCAGCACGCGTGTTGCAAGTGGGCGCTTGCGGCGGAGTGGTCGCGTTTTTGTGCGTGCATTGGGTAGGATAGCGAGGAGGCGTAGAGTAAATGCGACTAGAAGGGTGGCGAGGGTTGCTATGAAGAACGAGAGAGTGTAAAGGGTAGATGGTGGGGGAGCCATTCTGGGAATTGCTATTGTGACGGATCGGATTGCCCGCGGTGGCCGTTGAGGCAATTATATTTGCAGAAGCTTGCACTGATTGCTCTTGAGGGCAGCTAGACGACTTGTGGTTTGCGAGACATCGTGGAACATTGCTGTTAGCTTGGATTTGGCGTGCTGTTCATGCAGGTGAGAGGTGAAGTAGTCGTGGCCATTGGCCAATGGCTGGTCACGAACGGTATGCACATTCCGAACACGAGGTCACATGATGGCGTTTGGTAGTCAAGCATCCCCATGAACACCGACCCAAGGCATACAGTTCTGTGCATATAGTTCGCTTTCTCACAGCACGAAAAGCAATCTTCGTGTTTGTAAATCCCCAACATCTATCTCTTATGTAGTGAAAACTTGGTGTTGTGCACAAAAAGGACTACAAAGTGATCAAGTTTCATGTAATGATTCGAACCATTGGATATAATTTAATAAATCGCGTAGAGAATATATATATACATGTACTGAATATGAAAATGAAGCATGAAGAATTGATAGAAGCCAGGTCTGCACCCTTGCCTTCCTCACGGAACACTTGCGCTGGCAACGACATCTTCCCAAACAGGCCAATACGCGTCTTCCCCTGGCTCATCCATCTGCCATATCAAGCTTGGGTTTCTTCTCATCACACCTTCGTTTTCTCTCTTCAAGCCGGCTAACCGCTCACTCAATATTCTCATCTGGCCCACAACGCATCTTAACTCCCTGCCCCTTGCTGTCGAAGGAGAGATCTCGCCTTTTAGGTCGGATAGCGGCCCCACAAGCCGTGTGAGTGTAGGCGGTAAGCTATATCGGAATGATGCTTCAACCCACGATGTGATGGCGAGGCGTGAACACAGGAAGGCGCTGAGAGCAGGAAGATAAGCGAGTGTATCTGTCGTGGAGGTGGCGGTAGAGTGGTGAGAAGATAAGGTTAGGGCGCGACTTAGGTGTATAGGCCAACAGAGCGCCGCATAGCGTAAAAAGGGGAGATGGGTATCGAAAGGTATGGTGCGAATACTGTTTGGTCTTGAGCTGCTGTTGCGTGGGTTGAGTGCAATTGGTGCTACAGCATGGTTGTTGTCACCGTCAGATGAGGATAACGACTTGTAGCCGCTATCTCCAGATGAGTTTGTTCGTTGGCTCGCGCCGCTACTGGCTGAAGCGGCTGGAGGTGTGGGTGGGTTGTGAGGGTGTAGTACGCCGAGTGGCTGCTTCGGTACGCTGTAGACAAGATAAGAAAGACAATCGGCTGCAAGGCGTCCGTGTACACCACTCTCGTTAGACAGACTGAACTCCGATGTATGAGAAGCAGAGGACTGGAGGAAGTCGCGCACGGATGCGTGGGCGAAAGAAACAGCGTCGTTTGTGACTAGAAGAAGACCGCAGCTGAGCTCTTCCAACACGTTGACGATATCCATCGTATGTGACGTCTCATTCTCGTCTGTACTCTGTATAGACAGAGCGGCTTGTAGCGCAGCTGAATCCAGGTGATGAATTCCATGAGACAACCAGCGGAAAGTACTAGCGATGACTCGCTTCTTCTGGGGCGAGTGACGCGCCAGCGCATCAATCATAGTGTGGTAGAGTGAGCCCAGCCCCTTCAACGACTGAACATTAAATAGAAGACCTAATCGTTCTTCTGGTGAAATTAGTGGTGACTGAAGCAACTTCAGAAGCATAGAGGCCCATAAAAACTCTCCATTTGCTGCTTGTGCGAATTGGGGAATCAGCGTTCGGTCCATGGATATGCCAAAAAATCCTTGGTCTGCCAGGCGGTTTAGCTCCGGTGTGAGGTAATTCTCAATGGACATGGCGTTATGTGAGCTTTTGAGAGAGAAAACGTGAGGGGCATCAGATGCCCACTTCTGGTATTCCAACGGTATCTTCAAGTCCGGTCTGCTGAACAAGATGACTCTCGCATCGGAACCTCGGCATAATCTTGCCAACAATCCCAAAAAGACTTCAGTGTTGCTGCATTCATCGATACCGTCAATCGCGATGTAGGTAGGATGTTGTCGCAAAAGTAGAGTCAGGACGTCTAATACCTCGTCTGTATTTGCATGTTCTCGAAACGAAGTTTTGCGTAGCAGCAGGCATACAGCATCGAGAGTAGAATGATCATTGCGATGCAACTGAAGCAGCTGGTTTGACAAGGATCGCAATGCATCGTCTGGATGATTATGCTTGGAATGTATGAGACTGAAACGGTAGTGCGCGATTACAGGAGGCTCATCACAAATGTTAGGATCTTCAGCCTCAGCAGTAAGGTTCTCGATTACTGAATGGGATATGAAGGTTTTACCAAAACCAATCTGTGCTACATGATGTTAGTACTCGGCTCATGGGGAATGTAAGATTCTCAACGTACCTTGAACGAATAGCACCCGATGTTGCCAACTGTTCAACAAATAATCCGCATCGTTGGCTACTGCTTTTTCAAATGGTTGATCTCGCCATTTACAGTAGATTGAACTTTGCAAGAACCATGCACATGAGTCTGGGCTGTACTGTCTGGGTCGGCGATCGACTTGACTTGTGGTGGGCGAATTACAAAGCCAGTTTCGCACTTTTTCCACCCTCCTCCATCGTTTGACAGCTCTTTGCCCTTCATGATCCAAATAGTCGCTGCCTCTAATTTGATCTTGATTTTGCAGAAAGTCAAGATAGTGCTTGCGATGATGTGCGATATCGGAATAGTTTTGAATGTCGTTTTGCGTCTCCTTCTCCAGCCATCTTCTGTGTTTGGCCAATCGGACTTCCATACGCGAAATGCGCGAGTCAAGCGGCCTCCATGACACTGTGTGAGCTGTATCAGGGGTTAGTTAGTCCAATGCACAATCGATTTACTGACACAGCCTTGAGGCGTGAATCTTGCAACGTACCTTGACTCCCTCGGCAGAAAACGTAGTAAAGTTCCAAGAACAGTTGCACAAAGTCGGCATAAACATAAGACATGAGTGCTGCTAAATGAAAGTCTTCGTCTTTGACATTGGAGTCCGGGGTGTTTGCACTGTAAGTCTCATATATTTGCTGATACGGAGGCAAGACATGCGCAATGGCTTCCAACATATCGGCGACCTTTTCAAGAAGAAGGATATAGGCACTGCTCATCTGCTTCTGTTTCAGCATAGTTTGCATCCAGCTGCGGTTGCATCTTACCTTGATGACTAGTCGGAGCGCACCCCAGAACCAGCTAATCCATTCTGGTTGGAGCTTTATGCATGTGCTCAGAAGGTCGAAGTATGGCGCAAGAGTACGAATGAACAATGTAAGTTTCCGGCTACACACAACCACTCTCTGGTCTACAGAGCCGTTGCTGACTGATACTCGACGGAGCTCGTTCAACAAGAGCGATGCGTTTGCATCATTTTGGAAATGAAGTTGGTGTTCTTGCAGTACGGCGCTTTGTATGGCTGCCACTGCTTCATCAAACAACGGTGCGATTAGGCTATGATTTGGTTAGATTTTTTTTTCAATTATTGATGATGATTGCGAGGGACTCACACAGAGTCGGCCATTGTTATGGCAGCGGGTCCTGGTTGCTGTGTGAGTTTTTGGATATTTTCCAATCAAACCGCGGCCTCTTTCTCAAGAGCGGATGCATTGGCACAGATCAAAATACACTTTTTGCGGTGAAGGGGGGTGGCATTGTGGAGGCATGGTGGCGAAGAGGGCAGCGGCAAACAGATATAACAAGGCTTGGATTGCCATATGAACGGGCCTAAAAGCAGAGCAAATTACTGCGCTGTATGGAGCCACGGGAGAAGCAACGGGTGTCGTGGGGCTGAAAATGGTGCAAGAAGATAAGCGGAATGCGTAAGAGTATGGCGAGCGGGACGCTGCAGGCGCAATTGTCAAGTCTTGGACACCACATAATTAGTAGGCGTGGGGGACCGTGCTCAACAACGTGGGCGAGACGACAGGCCCATGCGACGGCTTGCACACGGCATGCCGGGACTCTTAACCGATGTGCGGGGACTCGGGCTTCACAGATGAGTAACAGCAATTCCCAAGCAACGCGTTATTCGACATCAGACAAGCGAGACAGCATGAACGGATAATCATCATGGGTATCACCTCAACAAGCTACATAGCCAACTGCTCGGCCTAGTCAACGGATCTATGGTACAAAGAGTATTAGAAGGCGGGATACTGTGAATGCCACCAAAATTGTGGCTACCTGATTACACGGATGCAGGCATGCCCAGCCGGAGCGCAAGCAGCGCTCGCACGTCGGTGACATATTGCAAGCCTTCGAGCAGTGGGATGAGATGCAGCAGGTCGTGATCTGTTGGGTCGCTGATCCAGCCTTCGATGGGAATGGCATTATCTAGTTTCGTCGTTAGTCACGGTACAACCTTGCAGACGCCCGAGCTGGGGGGACCTCTTACCTGGGTGGAAGACGTAGCTCAGGGGGCTGTTGTCAAGTATCATAACCTTGCTCAGATCTGGCTCGACCTGGGCAAGATCCTTGATGTAAGCCCCGTTGCGAACAGTGCAGTGCTGTCGGTAATATCGTCCTGCAAAGTACTTGCGCTCCACCTCCAGCCAATCAATCACGGGATCAGCATACTCTTGAACGGATGCGGTAAATATGATCAGGTTGTACCATTTGCTGACCTAGTTTACATGTTAGCTACGCCCTGGCAAGGCCAGGCAAAACTCCTTACCTTTTTCAAGAAGTCGTCGCAGTACGGCCGCTTGTGGACGTAGTACAAGAGCGGCACCTGGGGACCAATAACCTGTCCATCCGCGCCGATAGATGCCTGCAGTTTTACTTCTACCATGTGACCAGTCTGAAAGCGGCCGCCATTGACTATACTGTGAATCAAAGTTTCATCAAGATCAATGATGAGTGTTTTTTGGTGTGGACCGACGGCCGACGTGCCTTTGGCCGAGTAGGATGGCTGACGCCGTGGCACCAAGGGGCGCGGGGGCTGAGGCGCTCTTGGGAATTTGGTCAATTGTTTGGACGATGCGGTTGCCGGGCCGGTGGGCGATTTGAGCGAAGCAGCGGCCTCGGACGAAATGGAGTTGCTTTTGGAAGACTGTGCCTTTTTTGCTGCCTTTCGTTGTCTCAACACGTCCTCGTTGTGGTGCAGTGTAATGCGGATCGACCGTTTTGCGGGAGCGATTTCGTCTGCGCGCGATAAGGCACTTGATTTGGAGCGCGTGTGTTGCGAGGGGCTATCCCAGTCTCCGCCGCGCGAGGCAGGTCTTTCGGTCTCCGAGTCGGATGTCATGGCGGTGGACGTGGATGCGATAGATAGGGAGCGCCGCGAGGGTTGCATGGTCATGGGCTGGGCAATGCTCGAGCTGCGACCTTTGCGCATGGCCTTCTCGTTGCTGTCGGTAGCGGCCGAGGCTCGCGCTGCGTGTGCGCCTACTTTCTTCCGGCGTCGGCGTGTAAAGGTGCGCGAAACGTGATACACAGGGGCTAAAAAGGAAAAGTGGCCGTCCTCGTAGTAGAAGCAGGCAATCAAGTACTGGCCGGTATAGACAAAGGGGGTCGCCAGCACGCCCACGATAGCAGTGAGGCCATCGGATAACAGCTGCGGGTACAGCCACCGTCTTCGCCGCGTCGTGTCGTCGTAAGGTCCCTTCTGGGATTGTTGGAGGAGCGGTGATTTCTCGTTGGATCCGGATGCGACGGCTTCCGTCGTCGAGGAACCGGAGCCGTTGCTCCTGTCGGCGCCCATCTTGCGCGTCTCGCTCTATGCAGCTACTGCACTCGCATCGTCAGACCGAGTCGAGGGAGAGGGCTGGGGTGCGCGAATGGCGAGGATTGTGGGGTAGCGTGATGGCCGGGGGGCTGTTGCTCCTGCTGCTTGCTGCCTATGTCTTTGTTCGCAGACGGGAGTGGCGCTGAGATGGACGAGCAGTGGGAAGACCACACAAAGCCTGCTGGGTCGGCGAGGGAATCTCTATGCTGACGCTATGAAGTCTAGAAATAAGGCCGAGGCGAGGACGGAGAGGCTACAGACGGTTATGTATGTAAGCAGGAAAGGTTGGGGATGATGCCAATGACGACCGAACAGCTGGAGAAGGGCCGTGGCCAATCGGAACACGCATAGCTCAATTTGGCGACGACTCATAACTTGGGTTCACGCAGTCTTGAACAAGCAATATTCCGCTACTGTGCCCCTTACGCGACACAAGCGTCTGCAGTGTCTAGATCGCCTGAGTCTTTTGCTTCTAGACATCTTTTTGCATTTCCCAAGGAAAAAGAACTGCACCAACAACTGAACAGTCATCCAAGAGACACCCCCACCACCCCCACATACGCGCGCTATACACTTCGAAATCTTGAACAACACCACCTTTTCAGTGTGCGGAAATTGCCAGGATGCAGGGCGCTACCATTCAGGCACCAGGCCTGTCCACATTCCTCAAGTCGCTCAAGAGCACGCCGGTAGATGCCTCGGTTGAGCACTTTACTTCGTTCGTTTCTTCATGGCATAGTGCGAAACTACAGCTGACCGGTCTACGATAGACTCCTCAAGCGCCGCCAGATTCGAAACTCAAGACCTTGCGCCATTGCGACGACAGCCTTGCTACTGCGCGTAGTGGGCGAGTTCAAGGGAAGAGACGCTGCTAAACTCATCGAGCGCATCAAGCAAGTCGGCCGGCGACTGACGTCAGCCCAACCAAGAGAAGTTGTAGTAGGAAACATTGTGCGGCGTGTACTTGGGCTGGTACGTGAAGTCGTCGACGAGCATGCGGATGGACAAACACCTACGGGGAGCGACCGAGGCAATGCGACACCACACGCCCACGCCTCGCACGATTCGCTTCACAGGCCAGCACTTCAGTCGAGCATATCCACCTTTAGCCCTCTCAGACATGCCGTAGCAGAGCCCATGCCCGCAGGCGGCTTCACAGACAACGCTTCCGATGCCAGCGAACCCTCAAGACGGCCCCCGCTGCTCACCTCGCACACTTCGTACGCACCGGCATCAGCTGCACCTCTAGTACACTCGCTCTTCGGCCTCTTCTCCCAACCAGCAGACACACCTTCAGCTACTAGCACACCGACAGGGCAAGCATCTCCCACTGGTAGGAGCAACCTGACTGCGCTCAATCTCGAGCGACTTGCAGGCATGGAGCGAAGTCAGAATCTTGATCTCAAGGGTGAGGTCATGGAGGGCATACGAGAGTTGCAAGACGAGCTGGAAACATCAGACAAGCAAATTGCCGAAGTTGCCCTCGAGCACATCCACGCCAACGAGATCATTCTCACTCACACTGCCTCCACAACCGTTCAAAAGTTTCTCTTGTTCGCCGCACGAAAACGAAAGTTTACCGTTGTACACGCCGAGACGTATCCTGACGACCACACTGCTACACATGGAATCCTGCTTACTGGCAAGAAGCGCGAGGCCAACCCAGACGATGATGAGGACGATGACAAGTGGAAGCCACTCACTGACGCCGGCATCCAAGTCTACGTCATCCCAGATTCGCACGTATTTGCAATTATGTCGCGTGTCAACAAGGTCATTTTAGCTACACACACAGTTCTGGCCAACGGTGGTCTTGTTGCAGCCGCTGGAGCACATATGATTGCAAAGGCAGCCAAGGAGCATCAAACACCAGTGGTAGTGCTTAGCGGTGTTTACAAGCTCAGCCCTGTTTACCCTTTCGACATTGACGAGCTCATCGAGTATGGCGATGCTGGCAGTGTAGTGCCTTTCGATGACGGCGAGTTTGTAGACAAGGTTGATGTTGAGAATCCGCTCTACGACTACGTCCCTGCGGATCTTGTGGATCTCTACATTACCAACCTGTAAGCTGCCCCCTGCATTTATTTGATTGGATCAATAGCTGATTATTACAGTGGCGGACACGCACCTTCATATCTCTACCGCATTGTCGCAGACCACTACCGCTCTGAGGACATCACTTTGTAGTTTACAAAAAGTGATAGCTGACGCTATCACACCGCTGATGAGAAGGCAAAAGTCTCTCATCAGCCACGGCGCAATTGTTGAAAAGTAACTAGTACCAACAGCCGTTGCCACAGGCATGCCCCAGCGTCCCACGAATTATATCCTATTCCATTTCTCAAGGAAACCAATCAAGACACGCAGTTGATGCACCCAACACTGTGCCCCCATGCCTATTCGTGTACTCCAATGTCCTACCTATGTGTGCGCCCCGAAATAGAATAACACAGTCTACACACCCGTCCTGCAACATACCCGATTGGCCCGCCCTCCTTCGTGCCCTTTTTTTTCCTCCTTGCATTACAATACGCCCGCCGGCCATGGCCAACCGCCCACCCAATTGGTCACGGCAGGCCCCATCAGCGCGTGCCCTTCGGCCCTGAGCAATCCACACCCTGACACAGAACTTGCCTGTTCCGGCAATTCTCGCACAAATGGGGGGGTGGGTTCGGCACGGCAAAGGCAAAATCAAGGGGACGCCTTGGGATTGGGGGGGTGCCGCTGGCGCAAGCCGCAAAGACTTGTGGCGCTGCCGCCTCTTGTTGCTTTCTTTCCTTTTTGGTTAGGCCTTTTCTTTCGTGGGTGGGCGACGGCGAGGGGCTTGTGCGGTGGGCGGGCGGTCGTTTTATTAGTCCGGGGGGTTGCGAGTGGCTTGGCCCGGCCTACGGCGAAAGCATGTGTGGTGACGTTATGTGTGTGACATTTTGATTTTGGGGTTAGTAAGAGAAGGGTGGGTTGGGGTTTTCTTGCTATGTTCTAGGAGAGGGGGATTTTTCTCTGGGTGAGTGCTTGTGTTTTTCCTGCGACAGGACTCCGTTTAGAATACTTGTTACTACTGATGGTCGGAGGGTATAGTGATGTACATCCTCGTCTTTAGAACACCATGCTTGTGTGTTATCTGTATTACGTAGAAACACTACTGTATACGTGTCGCGGATGCACAGATAAAAGACATGCATCTTTTGTGTCTTTCTCTGTTTGGCCACCTTGCGCATCTGCGGCTCGTTGATAGTGTAGGGCTTATCGTGCAGTTGTACATATGTACCTGCCTTGTTTCGTACATTACGTATGCGAGAAAAGTGGGCGCGCGTTGTCGTGTTGGGCATCTTACTACTGATAGATCATCAGCTGGAGTCTCGCCAGGATATCATTTGCTGTCGGTGAAAAAAGCCACACATTTCTTTTTCCAGGTACACAATGTCGTTTCTCAAGCTCGAGGGGCTGCACGTTTTCTGTACGGGTGCCGCGGGCGGGATTGGAAGTGCGATTGTGGAGGAATTGTTAGGTATGTGACGAGTCAATTACAATGCGCAGAAAATTGTACATGCTGTAGTTTCTTCTACAAAGCAACGATGCTACACTTGAAATAACTACTAACAAGAAAATAGCCCAAGGCTGCAAAGTCACGGCGCACGATCTTGTTCCGAACCCTCTTGCCTCCACCAATCCCAACCTCTACTGTATCCAAGGCGACATTAGTTCTGAATCTTCTATCCAAGACTCAATCGCGAAAGCCGTTAGTCATTTCTCCCAACCAATAAGTATACTCTGCGCCAACGCGGGTATCACGGATGAATCTTGCAACTACCCTATTTGGGACATGCCCAGCGACCTGTGGGACCGCACCTATGCCGTCAACGTCCGCGGCACCTTCCTGACTATCAAGCACTTCCTCAAATCAGCCGAAACATACCAAACTGAGACTGGCAACGAGATTGAAAACCTGAGTATCATAGTGACCGGGTCCGAATGTGGGGTTTTTGGTCAGGCGGGACATGTCGAGTATGCGAGCGGAAAAGCGGGACTGCAGTATGGACTTGTGAAGACGGTTAAGAATGAAATTGTAAGATTGAATGCAAAAGCGAGGATCAATGCCGTAGCGCCGGGTTGGGTGGATACCAAGTTGATTGAGGGAAGACTGGATGATCCGAAGGAGATGTGGAGGGAGGCTCAAGCTACGTATGTACCGAAATCTTCTGTTACGTTCGAAAGGGCTTGCAACCATGTACTAATATATTTAGTGTGCCATTGCGAAAGATTGCACAGCCAACGGATGTGGCGAGAGCAGTGGCTTTCCTAGCTAGCCACCGTGCAGCAGGCCATATCTCGGGTCAGTGCATTTCTGTGGACGGCGGCATGGAAGGGCGCATCGTGTGGTCGGAAGACGAAATTCGCAAATCGCAAAACACTGCTGCTGAGCCTGAAATACCAACTACAGATGTTGTCGAAGAGACATTTGGCACTGCTACTCAAGGCGTTTCTCTAACTAGCAGAGATGCCTCAGCCTTGGCCGCTCCTCTGGCTTCGCCCTTGAGCGCTCCTCATAGCAGTTCCAAGCCAAAGATCAAAGTCCTACTCTCAGTCGACTTTGATGCTGTATCTGGCTGGCTAGGAACTGGCCAAAACCCGTCCAACAACCTCGCGGACTACAGTTCAGGCTTCTTCAGCGCCTACGTCGGCGTCCCGCGTCTACTCCGACTCTTTGCAAAATACGACATATCAAACAAGACAACATGGTTCATACCCATGCACAGTGCAGAAAGCTTTCCCAAAGAATTTTCGTCAATCAAAGAAAGCGGCGCAGAAATCGGATTACACGGGTACTGTCACGAGGGGGCGCCTCAACTCACAGCAACCCAAGAACGCGAAGTCCTCGAACACTGCATAAGCCTATACCAGGAACTCCTCGGCAAGCGACCGCTGGGCTACCGCGCACCACTTTACCAACTGCGCGAAAACACAATCGAGTTGCTGGAAGAATACGGATTCCTCTACGATTCCAGCTTATCTCACCACGACAGCAAGCCATACTACATCCCCAAGTTACCTCCAATCGAAGTGCCTAGCTACACCGACACCGCATCAGCAAAAGACTGGATGAAGCCGCTGCCCAGTGCCGGCGCGCCAACATCCAAATCGCTCGTTGAAATCCCGGCGAATTGGTATGCCGAGGATATGACGCCTTTGCAGTTTTTCCCCAACACACACAATTCACAGGGCTATGTTGATGTTCGTGTCATTGAGAATATGTGGAAGGATAAGTTTGAGTGGATTAGGGGCGAGGCTGAGGAAGGGCTAAGAGGGGGTGATGATGTGGTTTTCCCGCTGGTGCTACACCCGGATACCAGTGGTATGGCGCATGTTGTTGGCATGGTGGAGAGGGTGGTTAAGTGGTTGAAGGAGTTGGAGGGTGAGGGGGTGGTGGAGTGGTGTACGTATGCTGAGGTTGCGGGGGAGTGGAAGGAGAGGAATGCTGTGTGAAGTTTTGAGATGATACCTTTTGTGGTATGTCTACTCTTAGCTTCAATAGTAATTGAGGTATATTTCTTTTGCTGCTGTTTTAGCAATGATATCTCAGGAATTTGCAATCGCATTGGTAACGTGTTCTTCAACGCCAGTCCATTCCATATACAGCTATCTGCGCAAACCTTTGCTTCTCCAGCACTGGTTTAACTTTGTTTCCTCTCCCTGTCCCTATCAAAAAACAAAAACGACTATGCATTGCTGCCCTAGCAAGCGAGAGCGACTTTGGGACTTGAGCCGTGTCAGCTGATTATGCATTCCTCGTTCTAGTAATATCTAGTTAGATCCCTGTTGTATCGTCACTTCACATACCCCTGGTGACTTCGTATTGCCTTGATAAATTTCCCAGCAAGATGCTGACTTCCCCTCTTTGTCCACGAAATTGTTTCATCAGCTTACGTTCGCGTGTAGCTAGTTGAATGAATATCTACATCTTACGTAGTGTTCAATAGCTGTGAGTTGTAAGTCAACATCAACACTGTCTTTTTACCATCACTTTTCGATGCTTTTTTTTCACAAAACAATTGCAAGTTTAAAGTTTCATGCTCGTTGTGGTGAATAACTGAATGCCGGCGACAAGGATGCCAAAGGCCTCTGATATTGTTGCAAAGTGCTAGGGTCACTTCAACCGTCTTACATGCTCTTTCGCGTACTACTCCAATCAGGTGTGAGAATAGGCCAACGTGTCTCTATGTCTTACTGCCCGAGGGCCGATGTCGTCTTACGGGACTAGGTACTACGGCAGCACTGACATAAGCTTTGTGCAAGCTATGCCATGGCGCGGGTGGCAAGTCTTTCGTCATTCGCACTGACTACTTGGGAAATTTTCCGCACTACTGCAACAAAGAATGCTTTTCCCAGCGTGTTCTCAAAATGTGATGTTTGGCGTACTGAAAAAGAAGGATTTCAATAAGAGTAGAGTCTTGTGCTTGAAGACTGAGACCAGTACTACACAGATAAGAATGGTCGCAACTTGAAAATGGTTAGCAGATGATGACTGAAATCAAGTTGACTGGGTAGCATACCAAGCAAGCCCCAATTGAGCCCAAGGCTCTACATATCTACACCGGGGTGCTGCCCCTGTCCCCGAGTATATGCCGGTGGAGATGCCGTGACGACACTTGTGCCTGCAGGAGATCGCTCACATATCCCCACCCCCACATTTTCCAAAATTGGCTTTGTCGAAGATCAACCTGGGGCTCTGCAACCGCACTGTACACACGATTTTCACAAGGTTAATTCTCAAGAAGTTGATGATGAATTGTAGGCTCAAGTCTCCCATCTGTCGCATGTTGCTCTCTCTGTGACCCAGCCCACTCGTCAGTCAAGATACACGAGAAACTGATCTGTGCAGCTTACACACTTTTCCCGCGTACCACGAAGTATATACCCAGGTCAGTGCCTAGTAAGACAGGGGTATACATATCAAACAGGTTAACACCAGAAAAGCTTAGCTCGGATCAGAGAGCTCACTACCAACATACCCATCAGATATTGTCAGGGCTCCCCATGGAAAACGGTGAGATGGATTTGAACAAACGAATGGTTAGGCGATGTTGAGCGTATCTATGTTTTGGTTAATCGCGCAACTATTCTGTGAGCTTCACAATCACACACTAGGCTTGGAAAAAGTTAAGAAGCTGCAGTATGAGTGACAACCCTGTCTTGCAACTGTACACGTATTGAGTGGTGTAATTAATTACCTTTATCTTTGCCTTGGGAATTTCCATTGCTTTTGAGATATTGTGATTCAGGATCAGATACGCGTGTATGATCGCGTGAGATGGACAACATAGGGCCGAAAAGTACAGCTTCAAGGTCGGGTAGTAGTCGTTCGTAGTAAGCCCGTTCAAAGTCGTGTAAGGTTCGATTGAGAGCAACATTCAAGCCCGTATATGCTGATGCCCTATATGCAAGCGATGATAAGATCTGGTCGTGGGGGTTCACGTTCTGCTATACTGATATACAATTCGACAACACCTGTATACACGTACAAGGGAGATGGTCCATGGAGGCCTGAGGAAAACATCTTTCCCCTTTTGTGGGACGGTTTGAGAACCTCCACGATGAAGTGTTTTTGCCGCTGATCTGTCAATCCCAGTATATGCCATACACGTGCTGTGAAGAGTGTAAACAAGTGGATTGTCGATTGAGCAGGTGATATACGCGTGGGGTAAAGGACGTCAACTACTCGTTGGAAATTGTGCGGCCTGGGAGAAAATGGCACGTTTTGATACAATTGCGTAAGGATTGCGAGATATGCAAGTTGATGTGCGAAGCACGCAACCTCAGTCGGAAGATACGCAGTTCAGCGTGGGAGGGAAATTTATATAAGGGAGTGAAGCACTGCATCAACAACAGCACCACTCACATTGAGATATCAGTTCTAAACAGCAACTTCGGACTCCACCAATCAAGCCATGCGTGTCCTCATTGCAGCCATCGCTCTCTTGAGCATCTTTTCTGACCCCACCTCTGCCCATCCTTCTGTCCTTGACCCCCGAGCCCAAACCAAAAACATCAATATCCCCATCGGCCAGATCCTCCAAAACTCCAAAGTCGAAAAGTCGGGCAAGGGCACCCAGGGCCCTCTCAAATTCAAGGGGACACTCCCCCCAGAGCTCAAATCCCTCTACAAAAGCATGGCCCCCAAGCCTGATCCCCTCAAAGAATCCAAAATGGGCCAGAACGTCTGTCTCGGTGATCCATGCTGCACCAAGTATAACGATGGCAAAGTCACGCCCACGCCCTTTTTCGAGGTCAGCGAATGGAGCCAGCACCTCGGTATCCCGCGCCGCATCTCGGAACCTTTGTGTCCACCTGGCAGCGTGACCAACTCGCGAACGATATCCTACACGTATTCCATCAATGTCAATATCGGCCCTGATCTAAAATTCGGCCCATCTATTTTGGATAAGTTTGGAATTCGTGTCGGCTTTGCTTATACCTGGGGGTAAGTTTTCTTTTTCTTTGCCAGAATAGAGATACACTCTTGAAGGTGTCTTCAGATGGATGTTGCTTGGCTAACTACTTGTGATGCAAATAACAGAACTGCTACGACAGTCGGATATACTGCTGCTTGCACCGATGGCGGCAACTATCCTTGCTATTCTGTGTTCACTCCACGCATTGGTGTGATCAAAGGTTGGGGATATGTAAGTTCTAGAGCCACGTAATCTTATTTTTCTTCATCTTCCTTGCTATTTTTACTAACGCTTCTTCTCTGCGCCGGTAGATTGCAAACGTGGGCACGGGCGGTTTTATCTGTTCCAAAGGGCCCAGGTCGTTCATCGAGATTCACGTACCGGTTGTGCCATCCGATACTTGCAATGGAGGAGACAGAAATCCATGCGGACCTTCTGGTAAGACGGTTCTTTTTCTACAGTCATGGAAACAAAAGAATTGGGTCGTTTCGGAGACTAATTGGTGTTTTGATAGGCGTCTACGATCATTGCTTTGCGACAGGACCGCAGGCGGCTGCCCTGTGCCCTCGCAGCAGTTTGGACTTGAAGCATCCACCCTCGCGATCCTGTCCTAATGGTATTACCGGGCAGCCGTAATAGCAGCGGCCATTCTCAGCCGACTTTCCTCGCTCTCTAAAGGCATACTGTATGCGTGTGTGCCAATTTTGAGATTTAAGACCATACAGATTAGCTTCCGTCAACAAATCTTAGGAGGAAGTCGGCTATACCGTGATGGAGTGCGAGGTTTACTTATGGTGAAGTAGGGATAATGCCTTAGGACTAGATGCTGGCGCACTCAATTAGTCGTTGTGTGCTTGCAGCCTCCCTTAAGAAGACATCAAATTTACCTACTTTTACTTGATAAGCATGTTTTTCAACTGTAATAGAATCCTGTCACGACTAGGATTGCGTTAAATACCCTCCTATGTTGTAGTCGCAGAGACCGTAAACACGAACTAGATGAGATAACCATAAGTCTATACACGACTATAGGAGTGACTATCTTAGTAGCTCTTTACATGGCGGATGTCTAAGCTAAGTGGTCTCAAGTAATCGTAGAGGCATATAACGAAACTTGATACGCTGTTGTGTGGCGTTCTTGACCTTGCATGTATGGATGCGACAAAACACAAGCCCCCTCATATGCAGGAGATGTGCCATAGGTATGTAGTTTCCTTCCTGCCAAGAATTATATTACTCGCTACATACACTGAAATCAGAGTTACCATGGTTGTTTGTCCGTATTTTTGCACATATCTTTGCACGTTGCTTCTTGCTTGGAAATCAGTGTTTCCGCCGTTTTTTGCGCAAACCACCCCACTGCCGAATCCTTGTCCTACAAAAATTACCACCAAGTGAGCTCCTGTCTGTTGCAACAGGCCAGGGCGATATTGGGCAGATTTCGAACAAATTCAACCAACCTCCAAGCTTGAATACTCAACAATAGGCCTCACCAAGCCCAAGGTAGTGTACTGAAGTGCATGGAGCGCGTGTTGTAATCTATAAAGACACATTAATTAACCATTGCTAGATTGCTGAGGTCGCCTTAGATAGGCAAGCGTACCACTGCTACCTTGTAAGGATTCTTTTAATCACATCATTCAAGCAGAACAGCCAACTACAATGTCTTTACTCTTTACCTAGTCGACTGCTATCCACACAACTACACCTTGGGATGTCATCAATTAGCGCAATTTTAGATTAACTCCTGTTCCGGAATGACGGAATTACGCCCGTAGATTCAGCATGTATGTATAGTTAGCTACATCTTTTGAGCGTGATCAGTTCGTATGCACAGACAGCTTGTTACAAATGAAGCTTACGATATATTCGCACTAGCACGAAGTATAAGAAGAATACAAGCGAAGCTTTAAGAAGGCACTACTACCAGTCTCTCAATCGCCTTTCAAATTGTGCTTTGCCCGCCTTTACCACCCATTCTTCCGTAACCAAAACAAGTCCGCAGTCAAACCCGCTGAAATGGTTAAGATTGTTTTCGGAGGCTTCTCGTTGTCTGATCAGGCATACTTTAAGATACTAGAAGAGCGCAATCAGGCTGTTAATTTACTTCTCAAGAATGGTGTTAACAATATCGATACTGCACACATTTATCCTGGCTCCGAATATGGCGTCGGCCAGCTAGAGAAGCGGAAGGAGTTTACTATTGATACTAAGCTCCCTGGCGGAAGTATCCCTGGCTCAATCACGAAAGATGGCGTTATCAAGTACTTGCAAGAGTCACTGAGGCGCCTGCAGATTGATCACATTGATGTTCTGTACATCCATACACCCGACGACTCGGTTCCTATTGAACAGACGCTTGAGGGCATCAACGAAGCCTACAAGAAGGGCGCTTTCCGCCGCTTTGGACTAAGCAACTATACCGCTAAACAAGTCCAGGAAGTCTATGATATCGCTAAGGCAAAAGGATACCTACTTCTTCAAGTATACTAAGGCTATCTTAATCTTATTTCTCGTTATGGAGAGACTGAGCTTCCCTCTACGCTTCGCAAGCTCAGTATCAATTTCTACGCGTATTCGGCTATTGCTGGTGGCTTCCTGACCAGGTCAATTGCAGACCTCGACGCAGGTATTGGTCGGTTCAACAAAAATGTCATGGGTGGGCTGTTTAGCATGCTGTATGACCACGAGCACTTGCGCAAGGCGCTATTTACATGGAACTATATAGCTAGGAAAGAGGGAGTGTCAAACGCTGAGCTTGCGTACCGCTGGGTAGCGTATCATAGCGCGCTACATGGCGACGAAGATGGTATTCTTCTTGGTGTCAGTAAGCTATCGCAGATTGAGCAGACGATCCAGGGCATCAAGAAGGGGAAATTGAGCGATGAGGCAGTCAAGGCTATTGAGGTTGTCTGGGAGAACATCAAGAGACATCCCCCAGTGGGTGAAATGAACGATGTGGTGGCATTTGTAAGGGATGCGAGGATCTCCTTGGAGTAAGCATAGGCATAGGTGTAGGCTTCTGAAGAGTGAAACGGTTGGCCGATAGCGCCCGCAATCTGGAGAATTCTCTTATGCTAATATGCGTTTGTATGACACTACTTTGAAAAGATCGTCACTTCGAATTTCAGAATGGAGGGTCCGGGTAGGCCCCGAACGCGCACCGATGCACTTTGTCAAAGGTACGGACAAGATGCCACGACCCAAAGCATCGAGAGGGAGCTTCTCAGCAGGCTTGAAAGAAAAATATGAAGCTGCAGAGGAAATAGGGAAACCAGAATTTTGCTCAGCCTAGCGGCAAAGAAGGGATGTAATTGATGAAGCGTGTAAGTGACTCCACGCCAACCCAATGCCCAGAATGATGCGACTCACAAAATCCATATGAAGATAAAATTTAACTAGCGATTCATATCAGTAGTTTTCACGTGTTCAGGACGACCAGTTTCCCTCAAAATCTCGTGTGTTCGTCTAAGGTAGCCTTGGATAGTCGGCCAAGCCTCGTGACTCATGTACGCAAGGTGCATCAACTCTCGGGAGAAGTTTCATCTTGTTGGAAAATTAATGTTTCGACCGGTGGTGTTGGCTCAAATAAGCTTCGCGGTAGATTTAAGAGAATAGTAGTGACTCACTTATGATAGATTCACTCCAAGTTCCAGGTGAGGCTTAAAGGTGTATGCTACAGTCATAGGAGATCGCTGGAAAAGAGGTAGTCAGTATTAGCAGCCTGAAAAAGGCTACGGCAGGTCATCTTCTTTTGTGGCGGTGTAGTGGTGTGCTGGAAACAGCGGGGAAAGTGAGGGGCGAGCTAGCTGAGTAGGTAGGCAGCAGAGCTGAACAGGCAGCCGTGCTTAGTGACTATTTAGACATTTATACTTCTCCCCTACCCCAGCTACTCAGGGTTGATCTTCTTCCTTCAAACCAATACTCAAGGGCTAAGCGCATACTTGACCTATTGTTCGCAGTCATGGCTAAAGACACCGGAACTGTCTATTTCAACAAAGATAGTGCGGAGTATGGCTTCATGAGCAACATGCATATCGCGCCATTCACCGTTGACGACGTCGAGTACAAGTCTACCGAACACTACTTCCAGGCTGCGAAGGCGCGTCACTTCAAGGACCATGTATATAGAAATCCCATATTTGCCCGTCACTCTTCATGTATTGACCAAGCGTAGGATATTCTGCGCGAGATTCTCGATTGCGACAGCCCAGTCAAGGTCAAGTCCTTTGGAAGAAAAGTGACTCCTTTTGACCTCAACGAGTGGGATGAGCGTAAGTTGTAGTATCCCAAGAACTACATTCCATGCTTATACCGTAGAGTCAAGGAAGTGGTGATGAAGGAAGGCAATATGCATAAATATGCCAAAAACCCTACCCTTCAAGAGAAGCTTCTTGCGACTGGCGACCGCCATCTAGCTGAGTGTAACCCCAGAGATCGTTTTTGGGGAATTGGTGTTGGCAAGGCCAAGGCAGAGGCTGTTGGCAAGTACCCAGGCAAAAATGTTATGGGGCTTATTTTGGAGGATGTCCGAAAACACTTCCGGGAGGAAACTAAGCAAAAATAGCTTCGTAAAGAGATTTTTTCGGGTATATTTCCTTTATATTCCTGCTTAAATGTGGTTTCTCACTCGTGAGGGAAATTAGTCTGCCCTGTACGATGGCTGGTTGGTCTTGAAGAAACCAGGAGCAAGGAGATCTGAAGTGGTAGGAAATGGTCAATAACTGTAGCTCCTGAGCATATTATCGCAAAGAATTATTTCAATAGACGACCGACGCTGCTATCTTGCTTGCAGTGATACTCCGTACCGTAAGCGCCATAAATCCATGGGGGACTAACAGTATTTGAGTAAGCCGATTGGATATTCATAATTCATACATGAGTTGTTTCTTAGTATCAAGGCAGAAGTAAGAAAGGTTTGTAACCTGGCCCTCTATGCGGAGCACGAGCGCGAAGTTCTTGCGTGATTGGGCTCATGGTTTTGAAGCTACTCAGCGTGGGTCCTTGTTCATTTGTCTTCATTTATCACACTATCTAACAGTGCAAAGACTCACTCTACTCTATGGGTGGATCTATCGTCTCACTTCTCCAGTTAAACAATGCTGAAAGAGCCTCTATATTCTCTCCACCAAGCAGGAACTTGATTAGTGCGTTCCTCATTTCACAATCACGCGTATTCCCTTGCTGCTAGCCTTGGGAAGAGGCACGAAGAAACTTCCCGCCATATCCACGTCGCTTCTATCTGTCTCATACAACTCCAAATCTACCAACCTGAACAATCCTGAGAGACCTAGATACATCTCTGCCAACGAAAAATTCATGCCCAGACACATACGCGGGCCCTTGCCAAAGTTGGTCAAATACTTGCTTAGCGGATGTCCAGTGGATGTCATAGGGTTATCTAGCCAGCGCTCTGGGATAAATTTATCCGGATTAGGGAATAACTTTGGATCCGTGACCTGTAGGTAATTTGACATGCTGAATTCTGTACCAGGAGGTATGACGTATTGGTCATACTGAATAACACCCATTGGATTTGTACGTTGAAGTCGATTAGTCAACCCATACGACATACGTAGAGCTGTAGAGGTTAGCTTGGAGTGTTTGAATGTCCGTGAATTGCTTACATTCTTGCACAACCGCGTTTAGGTACGGTAACTTTTCAAGTTTGGTGAGAGGCAGCAGTTCATCAGGGTTAGGCATAGCCTTCTCAAGCTCCTCTCTCAACCGCGCTTTAACGCCTGGCGTTTGCAGGATCCAGAAGCTTCCAACGGTGAGTGCCGTCTTTGTCGTGTCGATACCTGCACCCACAAAACTCTGCGCTTCATGCTCCATCATCTCCTGGGTAAGTTCGCTCCTGCTCATGCTAGACTTGAGTAGCTCGTGGAAGACAGTGCGATGTGTGACATGCTTGTCTGCATCATTTTCGCCAGCCACAATTCGTCGGATCTGGCCTTTCACTTCCTGTATTTGTTCAGCGGGGTGTATGATGTTAGAGATGAGCAACTTACGTGGCGAAATTCAAAGACTGATTTCATCTTAGGGTCTACCATAACAAGGAACCACTCCGGCAGGCCCTGGAGCCACTTTGAAATGGTGGGAAAACATGTTGCAAACGGAAATGAGTAAAGAAAATTGTGGATAGCCGTTGTAAATGGCGACTTGAATTCGGGAAAATCCAAGAAATCGTAGGATAAACCACAGATGTACCAGATGAGTACGTCAGCCACATAGGCACCCCAAGCCTCGTTCAGACATACTACCTTTCCAGTTCCCTTGTATTGCGTCTCGAGAATATTGCACATCTTCTTGATCCGAGAGCTGGTGTAAGGGCTAAAGTCTATGATCTTTTGCCTAGTAAAGAAAGGAGCAACAGCTGCTCTGCGGCGGCGATGATAATCATGTTCGATTGAGTCGACTAAGGCTTGTGGGTGCGCAAGGCGATGCGCCATTTGCGGTAGTTTGTCGTACTTCGACTTGGTATTGAAAAGCTCATTGTAGAACTCTGCATCGCGAATGTGTACCTCCGTTGGTGTAATACGAATAATTGGGCCTTGCCACTGAGGATCAATATGGGTATTGTTGAAATCACTCGTGTCACAACTTACCATATTTTTCATGCCATTCTTCAATCTTGAATATAAATCTTCCTCCCTTTACCACCTCCCAATATGCCTCAACCCAAAAGGTAATTGCAGTAAGCTTGGGGCCCGGTATGTTTGCAATGGGACTAAAGAAGAGACGATATACAACTAAACCAACAAAGTAAAGGAAAATGCCCAATAGGGAGACGATGATTGTGTTTTGGTTGAGAGTTGACAGTACAGCCATGATAACTAAGGCAATTGCTAACACACAAGAATGATGGCTGGCAAAGAAGGGTAGCGTTACTATTTTATATCAGAGTGTTTCGTGATTGGGTTGTGCCTATTCTCGGATGTCTGCGGCCTCGTCAGAAATGCTAGATACTATGTGCTGCAGGATGCGGCCCGATCTAATTCTATAACGAACAACACACTACCTTATCTATATTGTGGTGCATGTCACAGGTTTTGTATGTGGAGACGCTAAGATCACGATCGGGCTCTTCTTCGGATGATTCTATACCTGATCCATGAGAGAGAAATCTTAGAATACTCTTAGTATCGCGACTCTAATTGGTATAGGTTGTACTGTTTATAGTATAGCTCTTACTCTCTACTCCGACCTGTATCATCCCCTTGCTAATGGTCCACACACAAAACTTGTGCCATGTACCACAGTAATCTCTCAAACATCGATACATGTCGGCTGCATTGGTCCTACCCGGACGATATTGAAAAAATGACTCAAATCTGTTAGAAATGCTATTGATCAGCCGGGCTCCGAGACGTCGGAGATAGGGATGTCCACCGATTTGATCTTGCACGGCTCTCGCTTTCATACCATGTATTATACAATCTATTACAAAGTTAATTGCCTATTACATACGGTCGCGGATTATGCAAACTCTATTCAGGCGTACGTATTGGATCTGTGATTTTATAGCTCTTACAAACGCTTTGCTTAACATCCAACAAATGTGCTCTCCAAAGATAGGAGAACTCGCCATGTCGGCCATGTCTAGTACTCAGACCCCCGACATCCGAAGGCCGATGGCCGATGACCGAGGCGCAGAAGCTATCTCCGATATGCAGAACTACGCCCAAGCTTGCCATAGCGAGACAACATATACATATTATTAGACCAGTTCCAAAAAAATTTCGAGGTCGACGTATGCCTGATTGACAAAGCAAGCAATACTCTCATGCAACGACGGCCACCCAACCAAAATCAATGGTGATACGCCAGAAAGCTCGCGACTTCTAAACTTTGCAAAACCATTACGATGATATAATTCTTATTGTTTTCTATGAATGCGGTATGCGTCACATATTAGAGTAATAATTTAAGCAAATGATGACCTAAAGATGAAAGTTATTGAGGCTACAGGCTGTATGAAATATGAACTATTCTAGAGTGCCGGTCCTTTTTTTCTCCACTTGGTAAGGCTTTACAGCAACATGTCCCACTTTTGCATTTGGAGTTATGTATGATGTGTACCAAGTATGCTTTCCATTAAATTCCGAAATCCACCAATAACCGCTATGCGAGCCTCGGAGCTATCATTCGGCTCCGACATATTCGCTCTCATCTACATACCGAGCATGGTAACAGAGAGCCCGGGTTTAATCGGAAAACGTTCGTTTTTCGGAGAAACGAAGTGCTCATGATCTCCACAGACGGATGATAATGGATTTTGTGACTTCTAAGAGTATCATAATCTTGGCTTAGCGGCAAGTGAATAGATTACTGTTCTAGCACTGTATCATAACTCTGGCCTTGCTCTCGGTCAATAATTTTCATCAGATAATAGATAAGATTATAGTACGATCAGATAAGATAGATCATAGTTTTCATCTGATAATAATCATACGACTACTACCGCTCGATTGGGTAATCCGTGAGCGAAGTGTGGGTGTACCACAAAGGCGGATTTGCCTTAGCCACATTTGTACCGGTGGAAACTCGAAACCAGCTCGTATTCTGTCTATGAACATTGATGTTGCACTGCATTTACCTAACATGGCAGGAAGGTTGCAAGATTCACGTGGGGGAGATGGGTTGGGACAGGGTAGGCCAATCACCACGAGCAACTTCACCCAACATACAGTCACCTATCAGAAGTTTGTTCGCGTA